AGCACCAGGCCTCAGGACAGCGGGGACCCCTCGGGGGGCTGGTGGCAGCCCCTGCTGCAGGGCACAGCCAGCTGACAGCAGGGAGGGCAGGAGCAGAGGCTGGTGGAGCACAAGGCTGGAGACCCAAGGCTGTGGGCAGGGTGCTGGGGACCATCGCACCCTGCCAGAGGCTCCTGCATTCCCGGGGTTGTGGGTGCTGTGATGCAACCTGGCCCCCCCGAGGCACTGAGCCTCCCCTCTGTGCCCCAGGAGGAGAAGCGGAGACTCTCCCGCAACATGACCGAGAGCAGCCTGGGCAGCTCCGAGGGGAAACAGCCTCTGCCAAGCCAAGACACCACTGGTGCTCAGCCCAGCACTGCAGGTACTCTCCACCATGGCTGCTGGCTCAGGGCACCTTCCTGGCCCCTCATGTGCCCCTTGCATGGCTGGGGGTGGAGCACCTTCCCTAGCCCCTACAGCCCCAAGCAGCACCCAGCCCTTGTCTCCACGAGCAGGGCCGTGCACCCACCCCAGCAGTGCAGCTACCAGCACCCCCAGCCCTGCACCCCAGCACAGGCACCCTCACCCCCTTGCCCCATCCCCACAATGGCGCAGGTACGTCCTGCAGCCAGGAGCAGGCAGGGAGCACTCGGTACCAAAAGCACAGGCAAGACCCCACACGGCTCACACGTCCCCCACTGAATGCTCCCCCTGGAGCTGCCAGTTGTCAATCCCAGACCTCATACCACTGGGTCTCGGTCCCAAGATCAGCTCCCAGTGGGAGCCAGCCCCCCTCCTGGCTGGGCTCACACCTCACACCACCCCCAGCCTCTCTGCCCAGGGCCGTCATGCTCCCACAGGCAGGAGAGCTGGCCCTGGCAGCCCAGGGCACCCAGCAGCCCAGGGGACACCAACGGGCCCCCACGGCCCCCCAGGCTGGATTATCTGCCCAGCCCACCTCCCCTGCCTGCACAGGGCTGTCCCTGTCTCCCACCGGCTTCGGTGGCCGTGTGAAGAGTGCCAGCAAGGCCCCGCCGCTGCCCCGCAAGATCAGCCCCACGGTGTACGAGACATTCCTGGAGCAGAGCGATGCCGCAACCGGAGGGAAGGTACCACCCGGCCCAGACCCCCGGCTCCCGCCACCCCCTGCCCCCGGTAACTGCCCTCTCTGCTTGCAGGCATCCCCATCACCGACAGTGGATGGAAATAAAGGGCTGAAGTCACCACCTCCTCCGCCACCAAAGTCCAAGCGAGTGTCACAGCTCTGACCCGGTGCCCGCCTGCAGCTGCACTGTCCACTTGCAACCACCCCTGCCCATGGGGATGGAAAAGCCTGCGGTGCCCCTGCTCGCAGCTGGTTGCTGGATGAAACAGCCCTGCTTGATCCTCATCTGCTGGACCACCCCTTGCCCACCTCTCTTGCAGTATTCACGCCACAAGCATCCCGCATGGCCACAGGACTCCCTGTGCGCTCTGGTACCCAGGGCAGCACAGGGCACCACCATCCTTTGTCCAACCAGGTCTGGCTATTGCCACCCTCCAGGTGTCCCCCAGGGCTGGGACCCACCTGCCCCTGGACACTTCCCTGCCCCAGTGCTCTGCATCAGCCCTCAGGTCGTGCTTGCCTTCCTGCCAAGGCGAAGCCTGTGCCAGGATGTCTCTCCCACACAGAGCTGTGCTGAGCTCCCACCCATGCAGCCCCTCCAGCGGTGTGACCACACTGTGCCAAAGAGGACTTTCCTCCCTCCACCGTGAACTGCCAATGGACCACCCCAGGGGCAGGGCGACAAGCAAGCTCCCCACGAGCACATACTCAGCTCTCGCCTCCCCTCCTGCTCTCCACCCCAGGGGCAGCTCCTGTCCCTCGGCCGCCCACCCCATCCTGCAGTACCAGGACAAATGCTTCTGGCCTGGGCACTGTGACTGCACGGGAGCCAGCCAGGTCTGCGAGTGGGCCTGGGCAGTGTTGTGCTTTGCAGTGCCAGTTCTCCTGCCGGTATCTGGCTTTGCAGCCCTGCCTGTGCCAGGCTCGTGCTGCTGCCTCAGCCAGCCGTGCTGGGCTCCAGCCCCTGCCTCCCTGCTGCAGCAGGCCACGGCTGACTAATAAAGGACTCATGCATCAGCCGGGCACCCTGTGGTGGGGCTGAAAACCCTGTATGAGCCCCAGCGCTCAGCCGTGCCCATGCACAGCCCAACCAGGGGCCTTTCCATGGCCAAGCACCACCCTGGCACCATGCCCTAGCACCCCAAAGAACAGGGACTCGCCCTCCTGCAGCAGGGAAAGCCCATGGGAACCCAATGCCGCTGGGGAGCACACTCACCCTCCCCTGGACGGGCCGTGCCAGGTCTGGCACGGTGACTGCCAGCACGCTGCTCTGCCTCCCAGGCAGGCACAGGGCTGTTTATTTGCACGTGGTATTGCAGGCTCAGGAGTCGTATTTACAGTCTTGTGTTAAAGAGGAGGAACCTGGACCCATAACCAAGGGATGGGGAGGGCAGGGGCTGCCTGCAGCAGAGGGCTGCCATCAGTTGGTTCCTGTCTACGTGGGAGGGTAGGATCAGCTCCCTAGGCTGGGGCTAAAGAAATGACAAGGGGAGATGGCGCCTCGTGCCACAGACACGAAGTCTGGGAGCAGTTGGGCTGCGCTGGTGCCTGGGCTCCCTCCACATGCTGAGCGGAGGAGCAGGGTGGTGGAGCCACCCATCTCTCGCTGAGCCCAGCTCTTCACAGCGGGTTTGACGAGGAGGCTGCCAGCCGCTTCCCAATGTAGATCCTAGATTGGAGAGAGCAACTGTAAGGCACCTGCATGGGGATAGCCTGCTGGGATTCAGCGAGCCAGTAGTGAAGGGAGAGGGCAGCAGCCACAGAGATGACTGTGGCTGCTGGGAGAAGTGGTGTAGGACAGCACCCAAGGATGAACAGTCCAACTCCAGGAGCATTCCTCCATTTCCCATGGGGACAGCCCCTTGGGCCAGGGCAGCCAGAGGCCCCCGGACAGCCCCAGGCTGCACAGACGCCCAGCAGTGCAGGGGTCAGTTCTGGCCGAGGCCACTCAACAGCACAGGTCAGCCCCATCAGAAACTCACCCTAGTCCCAGGGTCAGCACGTGGCTAAGCAGCAGCGAGGGAATGAAGAGCAGCAGCAGCTCTGAACTGAAAAGTCTCTTCTTTCTCCCCACTGCACCTCCCTGCAGGCTCCACAGCACTGGCTGGGGGGAGCACACAAAGGCAAACTCCCTGGGAAAAGTGCATGGTTAAAGGGGGCACGAAGGAAGCAGGCAGAGCACAGCAGGAGGGTACAGGGACAGCAGGATGGGGGTGGCGAGGCAGACAGCAAGGGTAGGGGACAGCAGGACATGCTGGTGGGGGACATGGGCCTTACTTTGGAGACAGATGCTGAGGGCGGCGGGCACAGGCCCAGCTGAGGGATGCTGGCAGGTGCCGCTCCTTCCGCTCGGCTTCCTCTGGCACATCCTGCTAGAAGGAGGCATAGGGCAAGTGAGGCCAGGGGCACGGCCAGCATGGCCAGTGGGGCGCAGCGCAGCATGGGGGGCTGGCTCCCTTACCTGCCAGGGGTGGGGGCAGCCCAGCTGGGGCTGGCTGCAGGGAGGGAGCAGCTCGCTCTCCCCAGGCTGCTCGCTTGCCTGGCTGGCTCCGTCATCATCCCAGGCCGGGGAGCCCAGTGCAACCAGGGCACTGCAAACATAACCCCCTCGGTCACCAAGCCTTCGCCGCCCCTTGGCCCCCCCGACGCCTGCCCACCCTGGCCGGTCAGGACTCCAGGTGCCCAGGCTCCTCCTTGGGACTCACCTGTCACTGCTCTCCGTCTCCAGCTGGGCCTCTAGCAGCATCTGCTCCACGTCAGCGTGGCAGGAGGAGAACCGCGAGGGTGCAGGCTCGGGCTCCAGGCACCCTGGGCCACACCGCAGCTCCACCCAGGAGCCTGGGGGGGCTGTCAGCCCAGCACCAGCCTGGCCCCCGTACCGCCCACCCACCCTGCCCCGGGCCCACCACCACACCCCCCT